CCGGCATCGCAAAGTGGCCATCGTCGGCAATTACGTCGCGTTCCGAACGAACGAACGGAGTAAAGACCTTGATCCATTTTCCCGGGCCGATCCGTGCCGGGTTCCCCGTTTCCCGTGGCAGCAGGCGGGCATAATCGCGCGACGTGCCCGTGTACGGCCGTAATTAACCTAACTTACGAGCATCGTTTATACGTTGGATGCGTGTACGCGGGGGCCCGCCGCGGCTAAACGCCGTGCAGATTTATTTGCGGTCGTGACTGCGCGCCCGTTCCCTTGTATATTTCTTCGCGATAACGATGATTTATGGGAGCGAACCCGAGGGTGCCACACCGTCGCCGTATTCTTTCCCGCGTCGCAATCATTATGTATTTCGCCGGTGAGAGAAAGCTCGCCGTCGGAGGGGGCGGGGAGAGAGAGGAAGAAGGAGCTTCGTTATCCCGAGCGGTCGCGTTCGATTGAAAATTTCGCGGAGTCCGCAATTTTGTTTTCGGTTTCATTCCGCGCGATTCCGGGGCCGACACCGCGTCGGAATGACAGCGATAACTATGACCGGGACTGCGGAAGCCGATATTATTGAGGACCGGTTACACACACACGCGCGAGAGAGAGAGAGAGCGGCCCTCCGTGTTCGGCAATATCGATCCAATCGCCAAGGACTTCTAATCTCGTTAACCGTTTTCCCGAGGATATTGACTCTCTCTCTCTCTCTCTCTCTCTCTCTCTCTCTGTCTCTCTCTCTCTCTGTCTCTGTCTCTCTCGCGTTCTGTCTCTCGCGCTCTGTCTCTCACGCTCTCTTAGTCGCGCTCTGTCTCTCGCGCTCTCTCAGTCGCTCTCTCTCTCTCTCTCTCGCGCTCTCTCTCTCGCGCTCTCTCTGTCTCTCTCTCTCTCTCTCTCTCGCGCTCTCTCTCTCGCGCTCTCTCTGTCTCTCTCTCTCTCTCTCTCTCGCGCTCTCTCTCTCGCGCTCTCTCTGTCTCTCTCTCTCTCTCTCTTGCGTTCTGTCTCTCGCGCTCTCTCAGTCGCTCTCTCTCTCTCTCTTGCGTTCTGTCTCTCACGCTCTCTCACTCGCGCTCTCTCTCGCTCTCTCTCTCTCGCGCGCTTTGACTCTCTCGCTCTCTCTCTCTCTCTCTCGCGCGCGCTCTGACTCTCGCGCTCTCTCTCTCTCCCGCTCTCTCTCGCTCTCTCGATGGTCCTCCAGATTCGAGACGAGGTAGCACAGGGCCTCGATAAACAATCTTCATTAGTCCGCCGTTCGTAAGCTATTTATTAACCGAACTCCCGTCTTTGCATCTCCAATCAGCACCGAAGCGCGCGCGCGCCCAACCCCGTCGAATCGCGCTCCATGGTGTCGAAATCATCGGGTGCTTTGCGATCTCTTTATTCATTACGGCCGATACACCTCCGTATAAACTATTCCCATCGATTTTGGTAACGAGAGCATTGTGTACAAAGTGTGAACCATACGCCGTCGCGGCCAATTCAATTATCTCGACCAAGAGGCGTCGAATTAATCGTTAATTAAAGCCGTGGGATTTTTGTTTCTTTTTTTTTTTAGGAAGTGCAGTCGTTTTGAGAGACCGCGAACAATCCGTGTGATTTGTTTGCTTTACAGCGACGGGCCGAGTGCTCTTTCAATTTCTCTGCAAATAATAATAATAGAATAATTATAGAATTACAATAAATAGAATAATAATAGAGTAATAGAATAATAGAATAATAAAATATAGAATAATAATAGAATAATAGAATAATAGCTGTCTCTTATACACATCTAGATGTGTATAAGAGACAGCTCTCTCTCTCTCTCTCTCTCTCTCTCTCTCTCTCTCTCTCTCTCTCTCTCTCTCTCTCTCTCTCTCTCTCTCTCTCTCTCTCTCTCTCTCTCTCTCTCTCTCTCTCTCTCTCTCTCTCTCTCTCTCTCTCTCTCTCTCTCTCTCTCTCTCTCTCTCTCTCTCTCTCTCTCTCTCTCTCTCTCTCTCTCTCTCTCTCTCTCTCTCTCTCTCTCTCTCTCTCTCTCTCTCTCTCTCTCTCTCTCTCTCTCTCTCTCTCTCTCTCTCTCTCTCTCTCTCTCTCTCTCTCTCTCTCTCTCTCTCTCTCTCTCTCTCTCTCTCTCTCTCTCTCTCTCTCTCTCTCTCTCTCTCTCTCTCTCTCTCTCTCTCTCTCTCTCTCTCTCTCTCTCTCTCTCTCTCTCTCTCTCTCTCTCTCTCTCTCTCTCTCTCTCTCTCTCTCTCTCTCTCTCTCTCTCTCTCTCTCTCTCTCTCTCTCTCTCTCTCTCTCTCTCTCTCTCTCTCTCTCTCTCTCTCTCTCTCTCTCTCTCTCTCTCTCTCTCTCTCTCTCTCTCCTCTCTCTTATACACATATAGGTGTGTATAAGAGACAGTAGAGTAATAGAATAATAGAATATAGAATAATAATAGAATAATAGAATCGTAATAGGATAATAATAGAATAATAGAATCGTAATAGGATAATAATAGAATAAAAGAATCATGATAGAATAATAATAGAATAATAGAATATAGAATAATAATAGAATCATAATAAAATAATAATAGAATAATAGAATAATAATTACAATAATAGAACGACAATAAAATTGAAAATGACAATATTAAAGAGCCGATACGCTCGAAAAGAAAATGCGTGCGAAAGTTAAGATAACATCCCCCTCCGTGCACGACTAAATAAATAAATGAATAAATAAATTCTGGAACAAGCACAGCAGCAGATCGAAGAATTCTTCTCAACGCGCGAGTCACACAATGGCTGTAGTCGGCGCAGAACGATTACGTATAATTACGCGGAAGCTTTAGACCGAAATGCGAGAGATTCAGATTCGCGAAAAAGGAAAAACACTCGTTGCCCCGCGCGGCAAGCATTTGCGATTCCTAAACGATATTTATACGGAAAGAGCCCGTCGAGCAGAAAGATCGCGTAGGAGGGGGGGGGGGGAAGGAACGGAGAGGCGGCACGGTTCAAAGGCCCGAATAATTTCCGAACCGGCTTTTAATCATCGCAATTTACGCCCTCGAAACTCAACGTTAATCCGCGATTAAACACAAGCGCGCGTAATGGAGCAATAAATAAAGTCTACCAGAGAGAAAAAGTTCTACGCCGGAAAGAATAACTCGGTTTTAACTTCGCGGTCCGCGAACTTCCGATCGTTGCTTTTATTTATTGTTCGCGGAAGACGGCTTGGTACAAACAAAATCCATTAATCATCTAACGCACGCATAATTACGATTTCCACGTTTCTTTTCATCCGCGGTTCCGTTTCTATCGCAAAGGACTCCCTAACAAGTAAATTAAATTATATTATTGTTAGGTTAAATATTATATAAATTAGATAAATATTATTAAATAAATATTAAATATCATAATAATATATAATATGATATTATTATACATAATATTATTATATATAATATTATTATACATAATTATTATTATTATGTATAATATTATTATACATAATACTATATAATATGTTAAAATATACCAGGATTTTTCAGAAACGGAAAGTACCTTTCCCCTGCTTTTAATCGAACGCATCACATAAACAACTTAACATAAACCTGTCAATTTGGTAATAGAAACAGACCAATGGAATAGACATCAATTCGGAGAACAAACGCGCCCTAAAGAATCGCCCTGCAGAATCGTCAAACGCGTGCTTTCAATTCGCCGCGAGGGACGCGAAGACGCGCGGAAATGGTCTCGGACGGTCTCCGTTAAAAAGACGAGGCCGGCCGCTGGAGGATCCCTTTCTAATAAACAAAAGGACGCGGTCCCGTTTCGAGCGGCAAATATTTTCCAGCGGCCAGGCAAAGAACAGCGGAGCGACCGCGTTCAGCTCGGATACAAGCCAATACGACGCGAAAGTGGGAGTCGAGGGTGCGATTCAAGATGGCGGAAGTGTTCTCGAACGGCCACTCAACTTTCTCTGCCAATTATAAGACCACTCTGTCGCGGTTCCGTTCGACCACTCGGCCACCCCGAACAGTGGAAACTCTGCGGCGCGATCGAGAACCAATGTCGAAACTCCGAACCGTGTACCCTAATCGTCGATTAATCTCGCTCTGCTAATCGTCGGCGCGAAGAGAAGTCCGCGCGGCTCGAACCCGGGACGGACTTCTCGGCCTGTCGTCTATCAATCGAGCTGATCAGCGGCGCGTTCGCTCTTAAACGATTCATAAACATCCAGCAGGAAGATTAAATGTCGGTGGCGACGGTCTTTAAAGAGCAGCCGCGCACAAAGGGGAGCTTTAAAGGACCTACTTTCAGTCGCCGGGCGAGCGCGCCGTTCCCCGCGCCCTCCTTCACCCTCTTTCCCCCTTTTTCTCTATTTTTTTTTTTGTTCTCTTTCTCCATTTTTCTCTTTTTCCATCTTTTTTTCTTGCTATTTCTCTCCGTCCCTCGCTTTTTCTCCTTTTCTTAGTCTTCCTCCTCCTCCTCATCCTCCCGTCGTTTCCGTCTCTCTTTTTTCCCCCCGTCCTCCGTCGTCCCTCTCCTCTCCGCGACTTCTCCGCTTCCTTTTCCCGGTTTCTTAGGACGGAAGCGGCAAGGCCGAACGCCGCAGACGCTTTTCAGCCGGCTGCGGGGCCTGGAAATTACCCCGGCGAGCCCGCGGCACGCGTAATTTCCCTCGAATATTATTCACCGCGCGTCTCGGGCCGACTAGCGAACGCGAAACGCACGACCGAGCGAAGAACCGACGGAATATCCGCGCGGCAAAACAGACAGTCCGCTCGTTTCTGCAGCGTGCCGCGGCCTTCCGCCGCCATTTCGGAGGTCCTCGGAGCTCTTCGCGGTTTCGCGGATCCTTCGAGGCTTCCGGTTGCGTCGCGCCGATTCCAATGACAATTTTCTATTTTTCATTTTTCACATGGTTTTGCATGTTCACCGTATTTATTTATTTATTCGCTTGTTTCGTAAATGAACAAAAACGTAGATGAATGAGAACGTTGAAGAATGAGAACGTAAACGGATGCGAACATAAATGAATAAGAAGATTTAACAATATTAATATTTTTCGTTTTCCTTAAATTGAAAAAAGCAACAGCGAAATTTCTATGCAAATCAGTTTAACATTAACAGCTTTTTGAAATGAGCGACGTTCGTGAAAATGATCGTTAGACCACCGATCTTATGGATTCAAAATAAAAATTATTGTGTCGAATGTGCAAAAGACAATGCTTCGAACAAATCTGGCTGGTAATTGTCGCATTCTTTACGCCTTAATTAAATGAATAGTAAAAGAAACGAATTTCTGTTCAACAGCCATTTCTTGCAATCGATAACTTTCATTTCGCATAAAGATCGGCGGTCCAATGACAATTACTACGGGCAAAAGCGTCAGTCATTGGAGTCATTGGAGTCACTCCAAGTCATTGGAGTCGTCTTTAGAATAATTTATTGGGTCCAGATTTGTTAGTCGTCTTGAGTATGTTGCTGAAGCTGAGCTCTGAAAATGAAACACAAATTCAGTAACGAAACTACAATCGTGGAATCGCGAAAGAACTTATGCTAATTACGTGAAAGCTCCTTAGGCCTGGCCAAGGGCTGATCTTCTTTGAAATTGGTCGCAGGCCTCGCTTCCGCCATCGATATCTCGGAATCATGAACGTTGAAGCTTCGAGCGGAGCCACCGTACAACGATATCTGATCGGCTGTGGACAAAAATGTTTGTCACTTTCTATAAAGAATAGAAAATTTTTTCGCCCCAAAATTAATAATTATTTCCGTAAAATGATGGGTCCCTGAGGTAATTCGAAGCAACATTTTCCTTAGCGAAAATGCAATCCGAGGTATCGTTTGCGAGTTATTAACGAAAAACACTGACCAATGAGAGACGAGCTCGCCTAGCGTCAGGCGGCCGAGCCAATCAGCGGTACTGCGCTTCGTCTGATCGCGCCGCCTTGCGCCAGCCGAGCTCGCCTCTCATTGGTCGCCGTTTGTCGTTAATAACTCGTAAACGAAGCCGCGGATCGCAATTTCGCTAAGGAAAAAGTTGCTTCAAATGATCTCAAGAATTCGGTGACGTTGTTCTCGTATTAATTTACATACGCACTGCTATAAACACTGCTACAAACAATACCGATGCGTATAAAATAACATTAAACTGTGAAAAGGCACCCGGACACATTCCTCGCGCCAAGTTTTCTACGTAAAATTCCAAAATCCCCAAACGACGATCGTACCAATTAATCGGTCAATTTATTAGTTATCGATCGGTCCCAAAATTGCTCCCATATGGGATCGAACACATCTCATACCTTTTAAATTATCGAAGCCATGGTCCAAGCCGAAGATGCTGCTGCTCTCCGAGTATCCAGGGCTGAACATGCTGGCGGGATTGGCCTGATCGATCTTCGCGATCAGCGAAGTAGGACGACAGGGTGGGTCCATCTTGGAGATCCTGGCGACCGGAGATCGATCTGACCCGGGGTCCTTATCCAGCGGTGTCCCCTTTTTGCCCGAGCAAAAGCTATCCCTCGGCTTGTCGGAATAGTCGTGGCGTGTCGCGGTGCTCGTGTCATGCTCGTTTCGATCCCGGCACACCGACACGTTGCAACGAACGGTCTCGATCCTCGTGATCCTCGGCGCCTGGGACGCATCAACGAACTGGCTTCTTCTGGCAGCCGGCCGAGTGGCTTTCAATGTACCCAACGGCGAGCTCCAAGCCGGCGATTCATCAGTCATCATCCTGATCCTCTTCTTCGCCGGCACGTCTTCTTCCAGCTCGGACGTTTGCTTATCTCTGGGGACAAGCAACGGTGACGGATGTGCCGCCGGATACTCCTGCCGCGACTCCTCCTCGTCCGCCATATCGATCGCTTCCGGTCCCGCGTCCGCGTCCTCTTGCTCCATTTCTTGGCCCCGCTCGGAGCAAGGACTTCCGGCATCGATCGCCTCTTCCCCGGCGTTCTTGTCGGCCGAGTTCGGCGACGGTGATCGCCGACACGGTTTCAACGAGTCCTCCGATATGCACATTTCCTCCAGCAACGTGTTCACGGATATGGAATCTGCGGGTTTTAGAGGTCAGAGCGCTGGCTGCCGCGGGAAGTTCTGTGTCGGGGGTAGGCTCGAGGAAGAAGAGGCCGAAGAAGCGACCGTCGGCGGACGCGAAACGGTCGGAGGGATGTTCGGAGGGCTAGAAGAGCGCGTTGTTTGTCGATTTAACAAACATTGTTCGCTCGTTTGTCGGTCTTGCGACGTCTTTTGGCGCAATTAAAGGCCGAAAAAATTTGCTCGAGAAGATTCGCGTAGAATATCAAAGTCGTTTAATTGATGATACCGAGAGAGAGAGAGAGAGAGAAACTAGTGAAAATGAATATAATTTACTATAGAAGTATTAAGAGAGTACAAGGAGTATTAAGGGGTGGAGGAATTAGAATGCCAAGAAAGAATTGTCAAGGTTAAATTGAAAGAATTGGCGACTCGTTTGTGCATAGTAATTAATAGGAACGATAAAAAGAAGTTAAGAAACGATGTTTCCTCAACTCTTTTATCTGAGCTTATAACGAAAATATAAACAACGCGTTCAAAATTGTTCAAATCACGATCATTGTAACTATAAAGATAAATAAATTTCGAAAACTCTGGATAAACGAATTTCTGTTACTTTTACGAAGCAGTATAAATTATTAGCTGAGTTATCAAATTATTAGCTGAAGTATTAGCTGAATTATTAAATTATTAGCTGAATTATTAAATTATTAGCTGAATTATTAGCTAAATTATTTCGGAGCCCCGTGAACCTAATGTTAACGCTAGATTTACGGGGCACGAAAAACAGCTGTTTTATATTAATTTAATTTCAAATAACAATAAGACATTTATTCCGATTTTGAACAAGCGTTACTGTAACATTTGCCGTAAGTAACGTATAAAATTGAATAAATAACTCGCAAATGTATCTTTACGTTACGAACAAACATAACGAATATAATAAATATAAATGAAAAAATTGATAACCCGTCATTTCGACCGGGTTCCGTGAACGTAACGTTAACCAGCGAGTACCTAGAGAGTCCTCGCTGTTCAATTTCCAAGGCTCCCTCGAGCAAGATCTGTAGCAAGACCTCATGTAGAGAGGCAGATTAATCTTCGGCGGCGGCATCTTCAGCATCTCGAGCTCGCGGATCCTCTTCTTCTCCTCCTGTATCTGCTTCTGCACGGCCATCTACGCACAGACCGACGAAAGAACATTAATGGATTCGACCGGCCGAAACCAGGCGCGACGATAATAGCTTCCGTTTTTCCGTTCGACCTCTTCCTCGGCAGCCTTGACCTCCTTCTCGCGATCCTCGATGCTTCGAATTAATTCCTGCCGCTTCCGGTCGAGCGCCGCGTCGTTCAGCATGTCGCTGGCGAAGTCGACGATCTTCCCGCGCAACCGCTGCCACGCGATCTCATCCTTCTGCCGCGACAATCTCTTCAGCTCCTCGATCTTGTACTCGACCACCATTTGCTCGACCTCGAGCTTCTTCAGTTTCATCTCCGCGATCTTCCTGGCCTTCGCCAGCGGAAACTGTTCGTACCTCGCCTGCGCAACGCGGCAATTACGGTAATGTCTCCCTAATCGACGCTCGGATTGTCCGCGAAAATGGACAATTCGGGAAGAGCAGATGCGATTGTTCGAGCCTTGCAGCGCTCGTTTTTATAGTTACCGATTGTCAATAACTGTGAAAACGAGTCGAATCGAATGATTGCATCTTCTCTTCCCGAATTGTCCAGTTTTGTGGACAATCCGAGCGTCAATTAGGGAGACATTACTGTAGCTGTTTCCGACGAGTATACTCGTCGTGACCCACAAAATGCGACGAGAAGTAGAATTGGTGTGTCATGGCCAGACGCGTCGCTTGATTTCTATTTAAATAGTATTACTTTCTTGAATATGGTTTTTCTCGAAAATGGAACCTTTCGTACGAAAAAATATTATTATTATTCTATTATATTGTATATTATTATTATATATTATTATTACATATTATTATATATTATTATACATTATTATTATATATTATTATTACTTATTATTATACATTATTATTATATATTATTTTTACATATTATTGTATATTATTATTATATATTATTGTTACATATTATTGTACATTATTATTATATATTGTTATTATATATCATTATTACATATTATTGTACATTATTATTATATATCATTATTACATATTATTGTACATTATTATTATATATTATTATTACATATTATTGTACATTATTATTATATATTATTATTACTTATTATTATATATTATTATTACATATTATTATACTTTATTATTATATATTATTATTACATATTATTATACATCATTATTATATTATATATTAATATTATTATTATTTTCGTCCCATTCTCGTAAACCACCCCCTCCAGATCGAACAAATGTTACCGACCACCCTTCACTTCCATCAGACCGATTCCACGAGAGAAAATCACAGCGCAAAAATTATCGACTGTGCGAAGCACTCACCCGATAGTCTCGATAAGTGTCATCGTATTCCCTCACTATGTTCTCGTGTGCCTGCGACTCCGACCGCCTGACCTTGTACTCATCGTCCAAGTTCAGCCTCGTTAGCTCCATTTTGGTAAACAGCTCGTCGTTGTACTTGTCCTGTCTGCGGAATGTTCGTGACAAATCTTTAATGAATTCAACGGAAGAAAAAGAAACGCTCGTTTTTCATTCAGAATCGTTCGGAAACTATTGTTGCTCGACGTACTTGTTCAGGCTCATAGACAAAACCATGATGTTCTCCTTCGTGACGCGAATTTTCTCTTGCATTTCCCTTCGCAGCTGCCATTCCGATTGCGCTTTCGCCTGAGCTTTCTTCACCTCGGCGTCCAAAACTGATGAGAAGAAAAAAAGAAAACGCACGTTCACCTTCGTGATGATAACGTCGCGTCGGGAAAACAACATCGAACGGCGCATTTTCTTACGCAGCAACGTTTTCTCCGCCTCGTTGATCTCCATTTTGAGGAGGGTCTCCAACGTCTGCGTGCATTTCTGGTTCCGGCAAGTCATTTGGTCCTCCAGATTACAATAATTATTACCGCTTACCAAGTAACAATTACGCCGAACGAACCTGAAGACTGAACCTGAAATCACCAGCTATGAAACTGAGAGCTGTTTTCTTCGTCGCAATCAGCAATCACTCGTGACTTTCGAAACGAGATCACCGATTGGTGGAACCGTTCGCGACTGCAGTTGCGCGGGAAATTCGAACGGTTCTAGACAAAAGCGATGTCGAACGCAAAAGCAAAATGCATGGATCAGAGAGAATTACTTTTTTATAATTTAATGGGAATTTTACGTTAGTTTAAATTGCGGTGTTTGAGGGAAACTTTGATTCTACATTGTTTATTGTATTCGATAATTTATTTTTCATGAAAATTCGAGGTTAAATGGTCGTTGTAATCGTTTCGTTATTTTTTTCAAGGATTTTCAAATCTTTCGACGTAAAAATTGACGAAGTTGACGAAGGCCCAATTACTAAATATTAATTATAATATAACATATAATATTATATTATAATATATAATATATAATATTATATTATATATACTCTATAATACTATAATATAATTATAAATATATAATATAATATAATATAATACTATATACTATAATACTATAATATAATATAATATAATATATCATATATACTATATAATACTATAATATAATTATAAATATGTAATATAATATAAAATATATCATATACTATATAATACTATAATATATAATTATAAATATATATAATATAATATATAATATTGAGATATATTGTGTGTACTGTATTATATATTATATTATATATTTATAATATATATATATATATATATTATATATTTATTTCAACACATACCACCGAGGCTCGTCGCAATCCTCCAGCTAAAAATTAAGAAAACCTTGTACCTCTTCGCGTAAACCAGCGCGACTCGAAACTGCAAAAAAGCAGGGGTTCCACGTAGCCCCGCGAGAACGTCCACGGAATTATTATCGGCACGATTTCTCGCGGGGCGGTCGGTTAAAGGGGTGTGCAGGAGAGAAAGTATCGGCAATTCGGCGAGTGTCTGCGGGGATAGCAGAGAAGTGTCGAGGAAGAGGGATGGTCCGAGGGGTGGGGAATGGGATGGGAGGAGGAGGAGGAGGAGGAGGGTAGTTGCGGAGGAATTCGCGAACAACCCCGGGACGGGATGGCAGGTTGGTTTGACCCAAATGCCAGGCGGTCCGGGTTGGCTTTCAGCCAGTTACGTGTCTGCACACTCGGCATCGAAACCTTATCACTCTTTTTCTCCAGCGAGCCGGCGCTGCCTGGCCGATAACGATTCCCATCCGTGAATAAATTAATCCCCCGATCCGCGCGCGAAAATTAACGTCGGTTAATCCGTCCGCGGCCGATCTTCATGCAAATTCGCTCGGCCGGGGCCCCTTCCCGAGGAAATCTAATTAAACGAAATCTTTTGGCCGGTTCCTATGTCTCATTCGATCTCGCGGAATCTCTTCTACCCAGCTTTCCGCGTACTAATCGAATTTTTTCCTTTTGCTGGAACGACATTTTCTAAGTATAAAACCGTCGGGTGGCATTCGTGGAACAGATTTTTCGAATGGAAAGTGGCTTGCGTTGGGTGGCTATGGCGCGGTCGTAGTTGGACCTGGGTTAAATTGTTAATAATAGAATATATAAAAAGTAACTGTAAAATATATATAATATAAAATAAATAAGTTGATAATGTAAAAAATATATAAGAACGTAACATGATAAATATAATAATAATAAAGTATAAAATAAACTGTCAAATATATTAGAAATAACTATAAAATATATATAATATAAAATTAATAAATAGAAAATGTAAAAAATATATAAGAACGTAACATAACAAGTATAATAATAATAAAGTATAAAATAAACTGTAAAATATATAAAAAATAACTATAAAATATACATAATATAAAATAAATGAATAAAAAATATATAAAATACAATAATAAACATGCAGCAAAAATAACTGTATCTATCTATCTGTCTGGTAACAAAAATTATTAATCGAAGCACTATTTTCCAAAGATGTTCTGAAAATAATTATTGAAAATAGCACATCGCGCGTTTGAACTGTTATCAATTCGATGAAATTCTATTTCTTGAGATTAATATTTCTCCGAGAAGATAAATCTGCGGAAAAAGTGTACGAACACGCATTGTTTCGAAAAAACAAGCTTTTCCATCTACTTCTCCCGATTGCTAAATGCAATTGGACTGCACACGCAATTGTATCATTTCCCGCAAAATAAAGAAAATATTCAGATATTATTTAATATTCGAAGAAGCATCTCCGGTTCTCATTGTAATCTATAAATCTCAAACACTTCCTACACAGAGTGTCCCAAAAATGTCTCCCTCTCCCTTTTCCTCAAGAACCTCTCATTTCCGGACTGCAGGACATTTTTGGGCCCTCAGTAGTATAATACATTTATAAAATCAATTAAGTAACTTTGACCCCGAACCAATCGAATGAAAATCGACCCTCGACCCACCCCAACCCCTCCGCCCTCGTTCAACGTCCAGACCGTCGCCGAACGATGGCAAGAACGTTCTCCATCGGAGAGAGAGAGAGAGAGAGAGAGAGAGAGAGCATCGTCCGTTGATCGGTAAAACAGTTCTTAGCAGCCGATGATCGGGCCCTAGACGTCGTTTTCCACGGGCCGTCGTGGTTGTTCGCCCGCGGAAAGATTGGATCGTTCTTCGGGCTGATGGATTCGCCGGGCGGAAGCTGCAGGGGGTGATTTAGGTAGCGCCGATCGTCGCCCGTTGATCGGAGCACTCGAAAGTTCCGGCTGGCTCGGGGTAAACGAGCTTGCAGACGAGCGCTTAACGAGCCGCGCGCGGATCGGCGGCTGGCGGAAACGAAGCCACTCGTCTCGCTTCGTCGTCGTCGACGAAGCGATCGTCGTTTTCGCGAGGAGAAAAAAAGAAGAGGGGAGGGGGAGGAGAGGAGAAAGAAGAAAACGAAACGGGAGCAGAGAAAGAGAAAGAGACGCGCGGCCGGATGGTTCCGGGCAGAAAGCATAAGTCGTCGCGCGGTGCCTGGCGAAAGCCGGAGAGGGAACGAGAGAGGGAACGAGAGGGAACGAGAGAGAAGAAGAGAGACGGATGGCTGTGCGCGAACAGCTCGTTCTTGCGCACGCACAAAAGAGCACCGTCGCGGAACAAAACGACGCGGGGCTCGCTTAAATGCACCCGGCGCGGTTTATTTAATACGTCGCGGCGAATCCTCGTTTCACGGGGCTCCCCCGTTGTTCCCGGCCGGGAACAAAGGGCCGCGCCCCCCGCGACAACGTTTCGCTCGTGTAACCGTGTTTCCACGGGTCCTTCGCCGAGGACGCGTCGCGCGATACCGGCGAACGTTATGCCACTTGAACGCGCCCCGCGCGCGCGCCACCCCCGAATCCCGATCTTGCCAACAGCAAGTCCCCGCAAAGGAGAATCGAGTTTGCTCCTCGTTGAACTTTACGTCTCGCCTGGCGGTCCTCGCGAATCTCTGACGGCGCGGTGTGGTCGTTTTGCCTTTTTTTCGAATCGAGAAATTAACGGGTTCTCGGTTTTTTAACCCTCAAGTAGTACTCCGACTATTCTAGCGGTTTATCGCAGACGTTTATCGCGTTATTGTTGGCACGAACTTGTGTTTTGTTGGAATAAATTGTGTTTCTCGTTTCGCGCATCGACAAAGAACGGGCCCAATTTACGATCGAATAGGAGCAACCGTATCGACCCTTGCGGGGCGACCGCTGTGTCACTTTTGACCCGGAGTATTTAACGCCTAGATTCACGGAACCCGTCAAAATGGCGGGTCACTAATTTCTTAACTTACGATTGTTCATATCGTAAAGATGCGTTCACGAGTATTTTTAGTCAATTTATATGTTACTCGCGCCAAATGCTACAATAACACTTGTTCAAAATCAGAATAAGTGTCTCATTGTTACTTTGATAAACTGACATAAAAAAGTCCAGTTTATTTGCTTCAGAGTTTATCACTTGCTTTTCGAGAATACGGTCATTTCTCCCGGAAATGCCAAATTTCGGGTTGCTGTGAATTTCCCTGCGCTAGTCCTACGCCTTCGTACAGTAATTTCTCTCGGAAATGCCAAATTTCGGGTTGCTGTGAATTTCCCTGCGCTAGTCCTACGCCTTCGTACAGTAATTTCTCTCGGAAATGCCAAATTTCGGGTTGCTGTGAATTTCCCTGCGCTAGTCCTACGCCTTCGTACAGTAATTTCTCTCGGAAATGCCAAATTTCGGGTTGCTGTGAATTTCCCTGCGCTAGTCCTACGCCTTCGTACAGTAATTTCTCTCGGAAATGCCAAATTTCGGGTTGCTGTGAATTTCCCTGCGCTAGTCCTACGCCTTCGTACAGTAATTTCTCTCGGAAATGCCAAATTTCGGGTTGCTGTGAATTTCCCTGCGCTAGTCCTACGCCTTCGTACAGTAATTTCTCTCGGAAATGCCAAATTTCGGGTTGCTGTGAATTTCCCTGCGCTAGTCCTACGCCTTCGTACAGTAATTTCTCTCGGAAATGCCAAATTTCGGGTTGCTGTGAATTTCCCTGCGCTAGTCCTACGCCTTCGTACAGTAATTTCTCTCGGAAATGCCAAATTTCGGGTTGCTGTGAATTTCCCTGCGCTAGTCCTACGCCTTCGTACAGTAATTTCTCTCGGAAATGCCAAATTTCGGGTTGCTGTGAATTTCCCTGCGCTAGTCCTACGCCTTCGTACAGTAATTTCTCTCGGAAATGCCAAATTTCGGGTTGCTGTGAATTTCCCTGCGCTAGTCCTACGCCTTCGTACAGTAATTTCTCTCGGAAATGCCAAATTTCGGGTTGCTGTGAATTTCCCTGCGCTAGTCCTACGCCTTCGTACAGTAATTTCTCTCGGAAATGCCAAATTTCGGGTTGCTGTGAATTTCCCTGCGCTAGTCCTACGCCTTCGTACAGTAATTTCTCTCGGAAATGCCAAATTTCGGGTTGCTGTGAATTTCCCTGCGCTAGTCCTACGCCTTCGTACAGTAATTTCTCTCGGAAATGCCAAATTTCGGGTTGC